GGAGGGGGGCGGGGGGGGAGGGGAAGGGAGGAGTAGCTAGCTACTGTGTGCACACACATGTGTATATATAATAAGAAAAGAGAGCATGAATATGTGTATTGGTGTTGCTGCAGTTGCTGCTGCAGTTGCTGCTGCTGCTACTGCTGCAGCTGTGCCGGAGAACGAGGCCCAGCAGTGTGGGGCCAGCGAGTTGGGGAGCAGCAGCAGCAGCAGCAGCAGCAGGGAGGTGTCTCCGCCCCCCAAGGAGACAGTGTCCGCCTATTGGGCTTTATTAAGAAATAAGTGCATAATATATAAATAAATAATATAAATAAAGGAGAAAAAAAGAAGAAAAAAAAAATGTCTTCTTTTTTTCCCCCTCAATGAGGCCCTGCTGCTGCTGCTGCTGTGGGCTGTTGTTGTCTGTCTGTAGTAAATCAGCATCAGCATCAGCAGCAGCAGCAGCAGCAGCAGCAGCAGCAGCACGGGCTCTGGGTGCTGTGCGGGTGCGCGGAGGTGGTTGTTTGCTGCAGCAGCAGGACATTTTTGCTGCATAAAAAGTAATTGAATATATATTTTTTATTATAATTATTTATTTTATTTATTTATATATATAAATTAATTGGTGTATAGGTCCCCTTTTCCTTATTAAGAGGAGGAAAGGGGGGCGGGCTACACACACACGTATACACACAGGGCAGCAGCAGCAGCAGCAGCTGCTGCTGCTGCTGCTGCAGCTGCTGCAGCTGCTGCTGCAGCATGAGAGCTCCTACCGGAGTGGGGCGCAGGCCGTTTCTCTTGTGTGTCTCTCCTCAGATGCATGCAAAGGGCCCCACACACCACACATTCCAGTGTACATACACCGCAGTTGTGGGGAGTTGCTGCAGCAGGAGCCTGCTGCTAGGCTGCAGCTTCCTCTATGGACCCCTGTGTCTCGATAGCCGAGCCGACTGCTGCTCCCGAGTGAGCCCGTTGATGTTTCTTGCTTCCTTTTGCTGCTGCTGCTGCTGCTGCTGCTGCTAATTTATTTTTCCTCCCTTTCCGCTCTCCTGCTGCAGCTGTGGGGCCTCCTGGCGGGGGCACCGAGAGGCCCCCCAGCGAAGAAGGCGACTCAAGACTCGCCTTCATAGGCAACTCCGTATACAGCAGCAGCAGCAGCAGCAGCAGCACCAGCAGTCGTGACAGCAGCAGAAACAGCAGCAGCACACGTGTGTCTTGTTTCTTACCATATACTACAGACACACAAGATGCTGCTGCTGCTGCTGCAGTAAGGAGACAACACATATACACCCCAATGGAGACACCATGAGGGTCATTGGGTTGCCTATGTACTACTGTCTCCTCTACTGCCAATTAGAGGCCTAGGGCCCCTTGTATTGTACCCGACACAGCAACAGCAGCAACTGCAGCAGCTGCAGCAGCTGCTGCAGCAGCATCAAAAGAAGCAGCAGCAGCAGCAGCAGCGGCAGCAGCAGGTTTCCAGCCTGGCCTGCTATTTATTACCGGGATTGCCGCTTATTGCATTAGGGGATCGTCTTTTCTTCTCCGATCCCCTGCTGCATTAGGGCTGCCTGAGGTGTACAGACACCCCAGTGCAGCGCAGCAAGCAGCAGGATGCTGCTGCTTTTGCTGCACTTCTCCTCCATGATACTCCGCTTTCCCTTATTCGCCGCTGCAGCTCGCGACAAGTTCGCCCTCCCTACTGTATGAGGTGTACGTACACCTCATATACAGTATAACACTGTATATATATATGAGGTGTACGTACACCTCATATATATATTAGAGTATAGCATTATATGAGGTGTATGTACACCTCGTTATTTTTCCTTTATTACCCCTACCTTTATACATATACATATACATCTACTATTGTATACGTATGTATATGTATATGTGTGTATATTCATACATTATATAAGGAAGAGGTATATCCGTACATATACACCTCATACCTCTGTATACGTGCGTACGTGTGTGTGTGTATGTGTCTGTGTGTGTCTGTGTGTGTCTGTCTGTGTCTGTGTCCCCCTTTATGAGGTGTACGTACACCTCATTTATCTACCTGACCCCCCCATTATTGAGGTGTACGTACACCTCATTAGCGTGTGTGTCCCCTTTATTGAGGTGTACGTACACCTCAGCCCTGCGGAAGACCGCGCGTTCCGCTTTGTTCAATTCCGCACCGTTTCCTCCTTTGCCGTTATTCTTCCTTGTTGTTGTTGTTGCTGCTGCTGCTGCTGCTGATTGGTAGCTGTCGGATAGCAGGTAACAGCAGCAACAGCAGCAGCAGCAGCAGCAGCAGCAGCAGCACTTGACTGTGGGGATTTTGCTGCCGCTGCTGCTGCTGCAGTTGCTGGTGGAGGTGGTGGTTTCTTTGGTATTGTCATGTGGGGACAAGCAACAGCAAGTAGGGGCCCCCCAGCAGCAACTAGGGGCCCCCCAGCAGGCCCTTCCCCTGCTCCGGGGGGGTTAGGTATTGGGGCTGCATGCACAACAGGACGCATGCGGCGTAGGCTGCTTAGTGCTGGTTGCTGCTTATCTTATGAATGGGGGCCCCCAGCAAGGGCCTCGTCTTGTTTCTCGGGGTTTAGTAGCGATACATGTCTATCCCTTGCTCATTTACCTCCTGTATTAGGGGGAGAAGAAGGGGGGGCCCCTACCCGACTGTCGGAGGGGGCTGGGGGGCCCCCTTCGTCTCCTAGGTTGCTGCTGCAAGCAGCACAAGATCTGCATTTGGCGTCACTCAGCAGCAACAAGACTTGCCATCCGCTGCATACGCATGCAGCTGCAGCAGCAGCAGCAGCAGCAAATGCAGCAGCACACCCTCTTGTTGCTGCTACCAATAACCCAAATCCTCTTGGATGCTGCCTAGCTCTCTCCCTTAGTGGCCCTGCCCCAGAGCAGCAGCAGCAGCAACCCCGAAACAGCAGCAGCGGCAGCAGCAGCAGCCACACGTTGCATGCACACCACCACCAGCAGCAGCAACGACAGCAGCAGAAGCATGAAGGTTCATCATCTGTTGCCGTGAAGGACGGCAGCAGCAAAGGCAGCAGCAAAGGTAGCGGTGGTACGACCCTAACCACCTCAACAAAAGCAAGCAGCAGCAGCAGCAACAGCAGCAGCAACAGCAGCAGCAGCAGCACAAGCCGATGGCTACAGTTGCAGCTGCCGTCTCCGTCAGGGGGTAGAGGTAGCAGCCTTGTGTCTCCTGTCTCCTCTAATAAGATAGGAGACATATTACATTCTCCTGTCTCCGTCTTCTCTCAGGCTAGTACAACAACAGCACACCTTTCTTCTGCTTCCTCCCTAGGTAGCTGCAGCCAGCCCCCTACCCCTAGTACCCGTTTGTTGCCATCAGGGGCCCCTTCCCCTCCTCATCCTGGTACACCCGAAGCAGCGCCTGCTGCTACTGCTGCTGCTGCAGCAGCAGCAGCAGCAGCTGCAGCAGCAGCCGCTGCAGCTAATAATCCCGATGCAGCAGCAGCAGCTGCTGCTGCTGCTGCAGCTGTTAACCTCCGAGACACCCATGGATCCCGACTCCGACGTAAAGGGACTGGCAGCTACGAGGTGTATGTACACCCCGCTACTGTCGTTAAAGGCAAGAAGGATCCGACTATATCTAATGCTGCTGTTGCTGCAGCAGCAGCAGCAGCTTCCGGTGCAGGTGCAACAGCAGGTACAGCTACAGGAGGAGGGGTTGTTGGCAAGGGATCAGATGGGCCCTGTGCTGCTGCTGCTGCTGCGAAGGGACAATTGCTGCAGCCAACTAGCAGCAGCCCCACAGGCCCTGATAGTTCCTGTGCTACGTCTTTTCTTTCTAGTCCCTCCTCTGCTTCTTCCCCTTCTCCTTTACGTTTACCGATCCCTGCTAGGGGTCTACGGCGTCTGCAGCATCCGCGGCTACAGCAGCAAGTAGCAGCAGCAGCAGCAGCAGCGCCAGGAGAAGAGGTGGAGATGCGCCCTCCGCGTTCTTTGCGACGGTTACAGCTGCCTAAGCTGCAGTCTCCTTTGTCTCCTTGCTGCTCTTCTCTTGCAATGTTGAGCACAGATGGCAGCAGCTGCAGCTGTTATAAAAAGCCCCAAGGTGCTGCTTCCTGCTGCATGCATTCTTGCATGCAACACTTGGATTCAAGTGACCCGAATGTCTTTATTTCGGGGCTTGATGCTGCAGCAGGAGCCCCTTGTGTTAACTGCGCAGCAGCATTTGCGGAGACAGTAGGAGGAGCATCAGGAGACGGCAGCCCATTGGATGCAGCATTTGAAGCAGCAGCACAAGCAGCACATGTTGCTGCACATGCTGCAGCACAAGCAGCAGCGCATGCAGCCGTCTTAAAGCGGCAAGCAGAAGAAGCACTGCTGCTGCGCAATAGCCAAGTGCATGCAGAGGCAGCATTCAGTGTCTATCCGGACTTAGAGAGGGATATACATTTAGAGTACGACTTGTATTGTGGGCAGCTCAGCGCGGAAAGAGATGCCTCTGCTGCAGCAGCAGCTGCAGCAGCAGCAGCAGCAGCTGGATGCAGTCCACAGACACTGTCTTCAGAGCCGCCACCCCCCAAGAATACAACAAATAAAACTCATTTTGTATTAGGGGAAGGAAGGTATGGTAAAGTTGTGCTGGCGAGGCACAGAAGAACAAAAGAATTCGTCGCCGTAAAAATGTTGGACAAAAGACGCGCCTTAGCTGATGATGCATGGGATTGTAGGCAAGAACTTGAAATGCACAGGTATGCATGCATGCATGCTGCTGCTGCTGCTGTTGGAGGTGCTGCTCTTATTGCTGTTCATGTTGTTGTTGGTAGAGGTGGTCATGCTGATAGTGTTGATGGCCATGCTGCTGTGGTTACTGACCTTGTTATTGTTGTTGGTGCTGCTGTTCCTTTCTGTTTATATGTATACACCTGGATATGCTGGTTGTATATAACTGCATTTAATTTTTTTTCTTGTTTTTTCTCTTTTTTCTCCTTTTGCAGACGGTTGCCTCGCCACCCCCATGTGGTATCTGTGCTGGATGTGTACGAAGACCGCAAGAGCCTCTATATCTTAATGGAGTTGTGTGATCAGAAATCTCTTGTGGATAGAGTTGTTGCAGAAGGCGCATTTACAGAAGAACGCGCTAAAATACTCTTCGCACAAGTCCGTACTCCCTCTCCTGCATGCATTCTAGTTTGCATGCATCCTTCCGTGCATGCGCTGATGCATGCATGCAGTGTTGTGGTGGATGCTGTAATGGGTGTTTTCCGTTTTCCGGCGTCTGCACATTTGAGCAGGGGTGTAGCAGCAGCAGCAGCAACTCTGCGTGTGGAGAACCAGATTGTTGAATGTCTGCATGGAATGTGTATTTGTACTGTGCTGCAGTTGCTCTCCGGGGTGATGCATTGCCACCAGAACAACATCGTGCACAGAGACCTAAAGCCTGAGAACATTTTGTTTGCTCGGGAACGAGGATCAGGGGGCTGCAGCAGCAGCAGCGGCAGCGCAGCAGAGTCTCCAGACTACTGGCGGCCATCAACCCTGTCTGCTGCAGATGCTCCTTACGGACACTCCTTCTCGCAGCAGTACAGCTCTCAGAAACCCCTTAACACTTCTCCCGCAGAAGGGGGCCCCCCCTTCACCGTTAAGATCACTGACTTCGGCTCTGCCTGCTATGCGGCACCGGGAGAACTCAGCGGCACAGCGTGCGGCACAATTCATTACGTAAGCACGAGTAGCAGCAACAACAGCAGCGCAGCAAGTCTTATCACACGCTCGCTCCTCCTTCACGCTATATAGTTGCAACAGGACAGCTGCTTTTACGGCACCGCGAACTGTTGTCAGGTTCTCCATTCTGTTGTTGCGGTTGTTGCTGCTGCAGCTGGCTCCTGAGGTTCTTGCTGGGAACTACTATGACGGGTTTTTAAGCGATGTTTGGAGCCTAGGTGTTATTTTGTATATTACGGTCTCCGCCACGCCTCCCTTTTTCGGAGAGTCGGATGGAGAAGTGGTACAGCGGATAGTAGCTGGTAAGGCCATTGAGTTGTTGTATAAGTGTGTGTATGTGTGTAGATATGCATACATATATGTACAGACATATTTTTGCATATTTAAGTGTATATATATACATGCATGTATGTGCATGCATGCATATTGTAGTGTATAGTACACATTTTTATTGAAATGCTAGGCAGTACAGCTGCTTGTTATATGCTGCGCAGGCTCGTATTCCATGGCCGGCTACCAGTGGCGGCACATATCGGACGAATGCAAAGACATCATCCGACGTTTGTTGATGGTTGATCCGCGCTGCAGGTGCTTCTTTTCTTTGGTTATTTTGCTGTTTTGTGCTTCTTTTATTTGGTTATTTTGCTGTTTTTTTTCTTCTTTTCTTGGGACATTTTGTTTTCTTGTGTTTCTCTTCTTTGTTGCTTGTTGCTCTCCTCGTATTTTGGCATTTTTTGCGGCTGCCTTCTCTTATTGTACTCTAATGTTCCTATCCTCTTGGCTATTTGGTGTGTTACTATCTTCGGTTTCCGCCGGGTTTCTATGTGTGTGTTTCTTCTTGCTTGGGCAGTCTTCCTTCATGTTGGCTGCAGCACAGCAGCTTCAAGAAAACCTCAAACCCTAAACAACTCCTTGTTCGACTGTGCGTGTGTGTACTTATGCATTCTTGCAGGATGTCGCTGAGCGAAGCAGCGTCCCATCCGTGGTTTGTGCGGATAACGGGGGGCTTGAGTTGTTGCTACGGAAGTGCATGCTGCATGCGTTGTTCTTCTGGTGGAGTGGCGTACGGCGAGGTGGAATCTGAGAGAAGGTCTTTAGAGCAGGCATTTGATGCTGCTTCTGCTTGCTGCTGCAGTGCATGTCACGAAGACAGCTGCAGCTGCATGGAGTCGCCGCCTTTGAGACTGTCTCCTTGCCGCTATTCCTGCTGCACCGCGCCACCCACGCAGGGCCATTGGATGTCGCCTTCACATGCGCATGCATGTGGGGGCTTTGCGAGGTGGACAAACACCTAAGCTCCACCGATAAACACAAATTAGCGGCTTGAGAGAAGGCACTGCCTCTCCCCTTTGTCTGTCTCCCCAAACAGTGCGCAACGTCCCAACAGCGCCGTGTCGTGAACCTCCACACACGGCAGCTCGAAGTTCCTCGTGAATACTATATTGTAGGTATGTATGTATGTATGCGTGCATGCATGTGCGAATACTTACATTCATACGTGCATGGGGTATATAGATGAGAAGCAAAGGGGGTTGATTGTCATTGAGGAAATACTGGGGTATATGGTGAAGGGCATACAGGAAAAACGCCAGGCGATCTGCAGAAGACGGTGTAGGTCTCCCCCTTGATAGCCAGCCTCTCACGATGCATGCATGCGGTGTGCGTGCCCTTTTGCTTGTCTCCGTTTGTGTCTATTTAAGGGGACAGCAAGGGGGTTCCACTGCTGCCTCTGCAGGCAGCCAGTAAGCGCGGGGTTTGGCAGCAGCAGCAACGAGCTGCAGCAGCGAGCTGCATTACATATTTCCAGCGGCGCGCTGCAGCAGGGATTTGCGTCAGCTGTTAGGCCACGCCAGAGAGGCCCCTGCTACCGCTACCTGAAGGCTCTTTCCCTTTGCACAGGCGAATATCCCAGCCAGCCCAGCGGCTGCCGCTGGGGTTTAATGATTGCGCCTGCTGAGGGTTTAGGGTTGAAGGTTTAGGGATGGCGCCTCCTTAGCCACTTTGCCAAACGTATTTGTGGGCGGATATGTCGCTCTCTCTAGCTTGATACACCGCGGATGTATGTGTTTGTACGCACACACACACTATATATGCGTGCATTTCAATGCGTATACTGTATGTGCATATTTGTGCATACATATATAGCAGTATACATACATATATAAATATATATGTATATACATTTACAGTACAAGCTGTAGCGCGCTCTTGTCAACGACAGCAATATGCGTGGAGGCGCATTATACCACAGATGAATACAAGCAGAAATGTGCGTTTAGAGACGGAGGAGGGCATGCGCCTTCTGTAGCTTTCTAAGGTGCCACTGGATGCCTGCACCGAGTGTATAGGACTTAGCGAACCCTGTATCTGCTCAGCTGCCGGTGTCTCCTATGCAGGAGACGTAAGGACTTCGCTGGAGGCAGAGAGCAACGAAGACAGACATAGATCGCGTGCGCATTTACTGGCGTACCTACGTGGCCTCTTACTCTTCATGTTGCTGGTTCCAGACCGTACATGCCTACTACTAGCTGCACAGTTTGTGCAGTGGAGAACCAGCGGCCTTGCCATATGGCTAGTTAGCTAGCCGAGCAGACAGCCTGCGTTGCTCTTCAAGACCCTAAAGAGGGGTTAGGGCTGGAACCGTGGAGCATGTGGTGCTGCGTAGAAAGAGCCGAGATGTGCGCATGACTTAGCATATCGGAAGCGGAAATAGGCAGTCTTTCAAAAGGCTTAAGCAGCGAGAGAGCCTCCTGATGGGACTCCCAAAGCCTATCTTATATGTGCGTCAGAATTCGGAAGATATTTTTACAAGAAAACTGCGGGGCAATCCCAATTGCCACTGTTGCAGCTGCAAAGCAGCTGGCGCTGTTGTTTATCTTTTTGAACAAAAACTGCTCTTTAGTACACATTGTTTGTTTTTGGATAGAAGCGCTTTTTTTGCATTCAGCTTTAGAACATATCGGTTATCCTGGAGCAGGGGCTCAGGAGCTCCCCTATTGGTCTTAGTAGACCTCCACCCTCCAGCGCTTGGAGGCGATAAGAGTCTTAAAGAAGGAGGTGAAATCCAAGTTGCTGCGAACGGCAGCAGCCTGTAGGGCGGCTTTGATTGGTGGCAGCATGTCTTTGCGACCACATATGTACATGAGGGCCCCGTCGTGCAGGAGGCGCAGCAGCTTATCTCCGTCCCTCTCCATCAAGTGCTGCACCGAAACGCAGCAGACACGACATCAAAGCATCTCACACTTACCCATGCTAGCTAGCTAGCTACTTAGCTAGCTAGCAACTGCTCTCCATCCCGCCAGACAGGAGCTAGATATGACTTGTAGGGTAGAGGCCCACTTGCCAGCCAAATACAGAGCCAGGTGCCTGACTAGCTAGATGGCTACACAGATGAGCAAGCGGCCACATAAACAAACGTAACATTAGAGGAGGCAGCCGGGAGACACACACTGCCACGGAGGCAGGCGAAGGCAAAGCACAGTAGCAGACGGTCAACGAGAGCAGAAGAGCAAGCAGATCGCTACGGGCTACACCAGAGAGGACGGGCCACCTCAAAATGACAAATATAGCGCGTAGAAGCTAGAAGTACGAAGATTAACGACCTTGTCAGAAGGACACCACCGGGGTTGCTGCTGCACGTGGCACGCGACTTCATGGCCAGGAGCGGCAGCAAGAGGTCTCTGCTGATTTTTATTCGGGTGCAAGGAGGTGTACATGCACAGACGCACCTGTACGTACAGCCGTCCCCCGTCCGGGGCGCTTGCTTCTCGAGACAGCGCAAAGTGGAGCTGGAGCAGCGAAGGGGGCAGCAGCTGCTGCAGCGCTGTCCACTCTCGTGCGTACGGCGTACTGGAAGCAGTTGCTGCTCCCACGTAAGCGATTACGGGGCCTGTGAAAGAGACGCACAGACACCGGAATGTGTACTTTCTCGCAACTGGGGGCCTACGTCTCGGCCGTTACTCAGGGTTCAGCGTTGGGACGGAACAAGACCGCAGCAACCACCAAGGAGACACAGAGGTACAAGATATAGGCGACAACGCAAATCAAGAAGGAAAATTGTTTTAGAGATCCAGGAAGCTTTACAGAGGAGGCCCTAAAACACTATAATAGGTCAGCAGGATCAGCAGCAGCGTCGTAGACAAACCAGGGCGTCCTTCGAAGGCAATTCTGCGCATGAAGCTGCGCAGAGGAGCGACTCCTGTGCCAGTGCATGCAAAGATAAGGGGGACCTCCCGATCCTCCGGCAGCAGCAGCGAAGCCCCCACAGGTCCTGAAGGCCATCAGACACAGTTAAAAGGTTTCATCGGAGCACAATGGCACAGAAAAAGGGACGCGGCACAAAGGGAAAACATCAGCAATACAAGGGGAAGCCCAAGTGACTACTGATGCCCCTTCGTGCCGGGTTGGGTGTTACTCTGTCTGGACTTGCAACCCACAAGTAACAGCAGCAGCAGCTGCTGCCGCAGCATTCCCAGCTATTGTACCAACTGCAGCAGCAGGGACAGCAAAGGGGGCAGGTGTGAATTCCTCCCGTTGCCCCTTACCCCCGACTTCAAACTCCGTGCCAATTGGCGACGAACAGAGCAGAGAGGAACAGAGGCCATCTTTGGAAGAGTCTCCTTGTCCATCAGCACTCCTGTAGCGGTGTCTCTTGACACACTGAATGGAGACACAGCCAGCAGGGGAGACAGCATAGAAGATGGCAAAGCAGGCAGATGTAAAGACACCAGAGAAAGCACTCGAGGACACGATGAAACAGACTCAACGGAGGAGATGAGACAAAGGAGGGGACAGTAGAATTGATACTGGTGGGGCCTAAACACGGAATGAACTTCCAACGGCAGATACAACAGAAAAAGCAATTAATAAGAGCTGTGCACAGCAGCTGACCAGTGCAAAGGAGTGTGGGAAGCCTTCCTCAGGGGCCAAGGGGGAGGAGGCGACGCTGTAGAGACGGGGTTTAGGGACAGCTGCAGGTGCATCCGCTTGATGCTTTCGAGTGTCCGTGAGGTTTACAAAGGAGACACTTTGTCCCTCAAGGTAGCGGAAGGGCTGCTGTGTCTCCTGAGAGACAGTAGTGGGGTCGTAAGAGAACAACAAGTGGTGAACGTCGATCCCCTCTGCTGGAGATCCCATACTGCCTGCCGGGGTCGTGGGATCGGACCTCTCAGGAGACACATAAGCAGAATAATTTGAGGCTAACTCCCGATGCTCCAGGCGAACCTTCAAAGGGGAGAATCGCGAAAAACTGAGGCAAAACAAAAGCAAGTGCACGACTTGTGTCATTTATTGTTGCATACGTATGTTCTTTCTCTAAGTCTCTCTTTCCTCTGTCTGTTGACGCCTTTGTGCCTTTTCTTGCCTCTATCAGGTCTCTACATCTTTATTATATGTCTCTTCTGACTGTCTTTGCTTCCTATCATAGTATTTGTTGTATTGCTGAGCTAACCCAAACTCTTATAAGGGGCTACAGTGAGGAATCCTCTACAGGGAGTAAAGGTGGACAGAGCATCTTCGCCTAAAGCCCCGTCCCAGCGTCTGTTGGCCCTTCGCTTTCCTGTCTGTATCTCCTGCAGCTGAGCCTCTCTTAGGGCCTGCCTCCTCGCTCTACATTATGCGGAGCAGAGTCCCTGCTGCTTCTTGCTGAAGCTGAAGTTGTGCATGCCTACAGGTTTAGGGGAGTCTTTTTGGGCGCAGAGGTTGCCGCCAGTGCAGTTTTTCTTGGGTTGTTGTGTAGCAGTGTTTCCTTTAGCCTGCTCCACAACGTATAGAAGCATCCATCGATTAGCACTTATCCCCAGCAACCGCACAAAGGCAATGCCTAACCCTATACCCTAAAGGGTCCTGCTGAACCCACCCTGCAGGCGGACGAGGCAACGCGTCGGCAGAGACACCACTTGGAAGACCAGGAAAATAAACTCCGACCTTGAAGCAATCGCACCTATCCACTGCAACTATTAGGACCATAAGGAGACCCCATTTCTGCAGCAGGAGCACCAACACCACTAACAACAGCTGCAGTTACAGCGAGGGATCGCAGCCAACCCACAACTCCGAAGCCTAATCATTATACCCTAAACCCTTAAAACCTAACTGCAGACTCCATCCAAGTGCACAAGCCACACCAAGAAGCTGCTATGTCGAGAAGGCAAGGGAGAGCGACGCGGGGCAATTTCCTTCATTGTTGACCCAATAGACTGCCTAGTAAATGCAGCGCTTGGCAAATAACAGATCTTGAGGCCTGAATAGAATCTGTTGGGAGGACGTACAATACCCTTTTCGACGCAAATCCTTACCAACCCTATACCCTAAACGCTAAACCAGAGATACTTAGGTCTTTGTCGCCTCATGGCTGATCCACTCTCTTCTTAGCTCACCCCCCCCACCCCGCCTCCACATAAACCCGCTTCGCGCTCAATATGGGGTTTTGGAGATGACCCTCTGGAATCGGGTGTTTGGGATCGAGTGTTTGTGATCGAGTGTGTGGGGTCGAGTATTCGGGATAGAGAGGCGAACGCCGGGCATGAAGCAGCAATGTCACTTAAATTTCGAAGAGACACGGCCCAATCATTCAGATAGAGGGATCAAGAAGGAGAACAGCAGTCGTCTTCTCCGTCACGGGTGCAGCCGACACATTTGAGAGATACGCGCGTCCCCTGCAAAATGTAAGCTCAGCTGGTGGTAATTGGAAGTCCAATACATGCCTGAGGCCTGAGCCAAATATTCAAAAGACACAGTCGCGGGGTGTCGCCGTTAATCAGTTGGTGAAGGGCCCTCTGGAGGCCCAAAGTGGGGCCTCAAACGACAGGGACTAAAGCCGAGGGGCCCAGGGGCCCGGCGTCCTTACTGCTACACTGGAACTCACAAATATGCCATTTCAGTCATTTCATAAGTTCTAATGGTGACTAAATACTCGTAGATTTCTCTTGACTACAGGATTTTGCTTGCCACCAGCTGCAGCCTACAGGGGTCCATCCTGTGTGGAGGCTTGCTTCTGGTGCCTATTTGCTGCCTATTCGTTTCCTTTACTTCATTTAAATTCACACTTTTATGTTTTCTTTGCCAATGAAATGATTGTTTCAACCGCAGCAACTGCATGAGTTCCTTTTACGCACCTGTGCAGTGAGAGCAGACACTGTACTTCTTGTGAAAAAGTCACATAAGTCACATAATAGGGCCTTAGCTGTTAGCTTGCCATCTTCAGGCATCAGGGACATGATTTGAAATTATTTATCAATTGTGAGGAGTCCTCAGTTGGGGGCTGCGCTCGCTCGTGCTCTTATCTGCTCATGTGTAACTTTACTTTTTGTGTATGGAGGCCCTTGCGAGCACCGGAGTAAACACCACGACCAGCACGAACAGATTCACAGAAAATACATGCTGATGGAATGGGAAGTGGGACCTCTGGACGGCCACAAGCTACTCCGGGTTGCACTGGTTTTATTACCACTGTAGCCCGGACGTTTATTTCTATGTAGATAACCTTACAGTAGAAAAGTACTGCATTTCCCGCAGTGTAGTTCTTGCTCTTTCCGCACGATCCGGTGCAGGCCCCACAGTTTGGTGTCTGATGCTTTGCGTCATTTTTTACGCAAATAAAAGTTTGTTGCGTGCTGTTTTGTGGCGTTTTGCATGTGAGCCGATGCTTGATTATCGATGTTTCGTTTCATTGCCGGCGGCAAATTAGAAAAGGCAGCTCCGTAGGGGTGTGTACCGGTCAGCTCTTTTGTTACCGTGTATACTGGTTTATGGCTCTGTTCTTTTCCAGCTGCGAACTGTATATTTTCTTTTAGGAGCGCCTCTCCGTGCCTAGCAGCCTATCGGTCTCGTGTGCAGCACGTGAACGAGTAGGAGAAGCAGTGCTTGCGGATTTCACCTGGAAGCATAGCACGCCTGTCCAAGTCTCTGTAGGCTGTTGCGAAGTATTCAAGTCATCCAGCGCCATTAATGCGTCAGACAGTTTGCTGTTGCTTCCTTCACCCTCTAAGGTCCTCGAAACACCACGCAGTGGCCTTTTTGCGAGAGGTAAGCTGCGCGCAGTGACCACAAATTCCAATACAAGCAGCTCGAGAGACTTGTAAACTAAGGAAGGAGACTTTCTACACGATAACTTGTTTCTTTTGCCGCTTGTTAGTGTCAATGGCCTCAATTTAAGTGCCCTGAAGTGTATTGCAGCCCGTGCTGCTATATCAAGTGCTGGGCTTACCCTGTGGCGCGTTGCAAGTTCCGGGGTAAACTAGCAAAAGACGTTCTGAGTAACACACCAGCAAACATATGCAGAATTTAAAACTCAATGAAGCCCTCTAATTGTTGTACCTTAATTAACAGCAAACAGCTGGCGAGCTACCTGTAGTTACGAGTTCGCAGACGCCGGTGATCAACACAGCCAACGTTACGGCGTGACGACATAGTTGCCCGTTGTGCAATTCCCATGAATTAATAGTCCCACAGTTGTTCTCTTCGGGAAATTTTAACAGGAAAGCATGCTGCAAAGGGGAACGGCTCCCAATCGCTAGCCGTGCAGGTCCATGCTTGCGTTTGTTGTGAATGTGTACTTCTGCTCCGAGTTACTGAAAGTGGGCTGGGTCACCAAATACTCCTCAACAGCGGGGAAGCCTTTTGGATACAAAAGCTACATCCCACGTCTTTGTTCATTAAGTGCTGTGTTCATTTGGTGCGCAGCTCGTACAATCGCAAACCGTGAATGCAAATACTGAGCTGCGCTCTAAAGCTCCAATTGGCTTGAAGAGAAAAGGTCATTAACACCCACATGATCAATAAGTATAAAGGTCATATGCTGGGCATGAAAGCCAATGAAACAGTAATGCTCAGTGTGCTTGATCATTGAGGCAAGTGTTCCCAACCTGTCGTCCACCGCCGCCGCACACTTCATGCGGAGCCATCTACGAACAGGTAAGACGCACTTAAAAAGTGATTATTCTTTTTATTTCTTTACACATTCAAATTAACAGATAAATTCAGTTCACTGCCGTTGCTTTAGCCCCTGTCCCCTCTGTGCCTCTGTCACCGCCACTCTGATCAGTGCCCAGCTCCTGCGCATTGAAACTCATTTTCTATGCCTGTTTTCTGACCCATCATGTTTCCTAGCTGTTTATTGATAACAATAAAACATTCTTCATAGCAGGCAAGACACAGGGGTTATTCTAAACGTAGCTACCTTATCTCGAGCACCTGCTTCACCAGTTCTCTGGATTCCTCAGGTGCTACGACGACGAAATGTGGCTTTATTCGACACGAGAAGAAGGCATAGGGAGTCGAGAAATTACATACAGGGAAGCAAGTTGCCGCTGCTGCTTTTTCGGGGGCAGCAACCACAGCCTCAAAGAGGCGATAGGTCACCCAAATCAGCGAAAAGGGGAACAAAAACCGACAGGAACCCTTGCTCCCCTCTCTTCTACTGGAAGCTCAGGATTAATGGATATTCCTGCCAATGGGGACCCCGTCTCTTTTCTTTTCGTTTCTCCTAGGAAGACAGCGGGAGGGTCATCAGTAACGGCCGAGCAGGTCCAAGCACAAGCAACACACACAGCCGTCTCAGCAGTTGTTCCCATTATTGCGGGAGTAGCAGCAATAACTGTTTCAGCGGCGGCTGCAACAGCAGCTTGCCCGATTCTAATTGCCGCAGCCGGAACGCATTCCTTGTCAACCGTCGCCACTGGCTCGGTCTTTGCAGCTCTGGCGGGTTTAGGGGCGTCCGCCTATACGAGTGCTCGTCTTGATATGTTTGATAGGGCTGCTGATCCCGAAAGTGCATAAAACTTTTCTCGTCATATCTTCTATCTCAATTGCCTTACTAGAAACACAATGTGCGCTGTATCTTCAGTTGATACCCCTCAGTCATCAAGACACATTCTCACTACCTCACAAAACCCGGAGCCGCACATGAGTCGCACAACGCCACTTTTAGGCGTGCTGGAGTCGATGTTCGCTCATAAAAGAGTGTGGCCAGGTTTGCTAGTCTGTGCATATTTAAAATACGTCAGCCAAATCGCAAGCAAGGAAGGCCTGCAATACACTAGAGATTCGAATAGAAGCACATTGTCCCTAGCACTGTATCTTGTACGGTTATGGGACTGCAAAATGCGTCCAGAGACTCTCCAACCTTCAGTTTGCCATTTCTTTACACGGAGGGAGCACCTGTACAAGCGCAGGGAAGAGACTCTATTAACAACTGGCGTTGTCACGTTCCTTTCAACCAAACCCGTTCAATAGGATGTATCCTTAATGTGAGTTCGCCTATATTCTAGGCAGTTGGACATCTTGTACAATTTAAACCTAAAGAGTATAGTGGTAAGAATGCGGAGTCCAGACTGCTACAGACCTCAGAAACCACACGCATCTCCATCTAGGCGTGGGCTTCTGTATCCTTATTTTGTGTTGTGCCAACTGTCGTAATATTGCCGAGTGAAAGTTTACGGTGTTGCAGTTCCATGCTCCCCAGTGAAAGTGATGTCCTGTTGCAGCAGATGGGCGCAAGGGTATGGCTGGTGCTCGTCTCAATCATTTGATTATGCTATGAGTCTTGCAAAGTAGATCATAAGAGTCCAGAGGTACATTAGCAGTGTATATAGGGCTAGAAACTAACTTAACAAGCGCATGCTGCTCTTGTGTTTCCCTTTCATTCCATGAATTGGGTCTTCATCAAGAGTGCCTCAGCGGCGGGCTTGGACCAACCAAAACTGTCCTCATGCATGAGTCTGGGGCAAAGAGAGTGTTCAGCGGATGTGACAACTTTTGGGGGGCTTCTATAGCTTACATAACGTTGAAGTTTCACCGTGTGCAAAATATAGTATGCACAGGAGTACACGGCTGCAGGCGCTCAAGCTAAGCGTCTTTGCCTTTCGGAGCACCTCCTTCACGCAGTGCCTCAATCACGTTTAGCTGTTAGGTGCAAATTTGTGGGAAGATATTGACTTGCATAAACTACGTCATTTCTCTTTTCTCCCAGCTGTCACTCGGGGCAATATCCATGCGCTACTGCAGTGTTTTGTGGAATGTAATGGACCCTCCTCAAGTTCAAGGGGCTGAAACAGGTAAATGCTGTCGTCAAGTGATGCTCAATTACATGTGTTACTTCGAGTTCGCCAATGGTTGCAAGCAATGGTGGTGCTCAGTGGGATTAGCAGTGCTAGGGTCAACTGGAAGAGCTCTATCTTCCGCTGGCTGTCCATTCATTATCAAATGTTGGGGCTTGCTGCCTGTCTTTGACAATGGAAAAGCACCACCATTCTAATTTCATGATTGTTGTTAACGCTGCCGCAGCTGGAAGTGTCTGAAAATTTGATAGCCCTGGCATTTCTTGTTATGTTGGGAGTGGGGTACCAGGCAAGGGGCTACAACAGGCTGCTTCTCGATCTAGCTGCCGTATTTAAAAACAATAAAGGCTTCATTTTATTTCAAATAGGAAACTAAGTATGAACTTACACAGGTATGACTGGGTGCTGGGGCGCAGGCTGCAAGGGGAGTCACTTTTGTTCCCCGCCACCTGGCTGGGCGTGCCGTCTGCGCCCACTGGACAACGGCAGCAGCAGGCAGTGTCCTCGTTGTGTCTGCATTGGATTTTATGTTTATTTAATCGCAAATTTTAATAAGCAATTCGTCTTGGCACATGCTTGGCAGTATTTCAGAAGAAAGGTAGCCAACGGAACTCGATAATACCCATCACAAGAACATGACGCCTGTTCGGCTGAGCGCCTTGGCGTTGGTATCTTCGTTGCTATTTGTACTACTTGGATCTCAAAATGGTTTGTTTACTTCAGGAACCCTGTTATCAGGTACGTTTGGTTGGCCAGGGAACCTTAAACCTCCAATGAAGGAATGCACTGCACAGCTACACGAGTCCCCCACACAACATGCATTGAGCGCTGATATCATATTGGTTAACGCCCGCGAAGTAGCAAACCCGAAGTCGCCTCAAGAGCAATTATCCAAAGTATCATCTGGGTTGCTGTGAGCAGCTGACCCCGACGTGGGGATTTCGCCGGAAAATTTGCCACCTGAAGATGAGAATCAACCACGCCGACGGACCAATTGGCTTCAACGGGCCTTCAGAGGCACCTCGCAGATTGTAGGTCTAGTTCTCCTGCTGAATCACTTCCTAGAAGTCGGAGAATGGTTTTTGCAACATGCCTCTCCATTTTCTCTGCGCTTGCAAGTATCACACCACCGATAAAAGCCAGCAACCGCAACCAGCGAGTGTGCCCGCTCTTGTCAGTACACCTTATGGGTTGCCTCAGGCTGGAAGAATTCTTGGAAATTTTCGCAACTTGCTTTCTAGGCGTTCTCGAGTAGAAGCTGAGCAAGAGCTAAAGAGCTTGGAGGCCACCTCCATCCGTAGGGCTCGCTTGCTGCGCAAACACTCGCAATTAGGCGCACTGAAAATATAAGCATTGGACTCAGCAAGCGAATTTCGCCTGCTACATGTGTTGTACGTTTTTTGATCATTTGGGTTGCAGGATACTTTGATTGCTTTAACCTGGCATCTCCGGAGACAAAGGCAGCAAGTGCCGTGAGCTCAGTGTGTGGAAGGATGAAAACCGAAGCGCTGCGACGCAACTGTTCTTTATTTGCCTACTTTATTGCTAAGATGCTGGCGAAAATTGGAGATTGCATTTCCCAAGGGGATCCAGCTAATTATACCCAAAAACGAGGTAAACATGCTAATAGGTGCTGCAGGGCCAACCATCAATAAACAAACTTCAGCTTCCATTCGTTTGCAGTCTTTTTCCAGAATCCTTCAAGTGTTAGCGACAAGTGAAGAAATATCAGTTTCGCTTATTCGAAAATCCTGTTCAACGTGCCTACGATTTCATATACAGAATGCCTGGGTCTTTATCGTCTTTTCCTTGTCCATCCTCTGCTACGAGAGTCGATTTCGGCAGCCTCAGGTATGCGCACAGTCCGCCAGAAACCCGTTGCTCCTGCTGGCCCCAGGCAAAACACAGGAATAGATTGGGTCCGATAAATGGGTGAAGGAGACGAACTGATACCTCTCCTATATTTGCATTCGGTGTGCAGCTGAAGATATAAATGATGCGGAGGCTTGGATGAATACGCTTGAAGTAAGCAGTATCCTTTGTTGATGCATGCGTAGTGCCCTGTTGCCGCCTCTTCTCAACGACGTTCTGCAGCTGGGATACAGTAAAGTCAAGTACGTTTTGCTGTGGCTATGGCTTAATGCTTGTTACAGTTCACTGGCGGTCCTCCCGAGGAATTCACTTTTCCCGGTGGAAGTCCGTTGGGCAAGGCTTTCGCTGCGTTGAACTGGAGTATGGTTGGAACGGTTGATAACCTGCATATAGTCGCAGGCAACGCTTTAAAGGCAAGCACTCGGCAGAGACGAGGCGTCGGAGGACGCTGGAGGCGGTTCTGGAGAAGGGTCAGAGGGCGCTCATCTCCAATGACAGAAACGGTGAAGCCCAATGCTGAAGCTGTAAGAACGGCACATGTTGCACAGCTGCATGTGGCGTTGAGGAGCGCAGGATGCGTGCTAATCAAACAGTAAAAAATTTCATTCAGTGGAAGTAGCTTCTTCCCAAATGAAGATTGCACGTAAGCATTGCTATGCTGGGTTTGTTGCTACAGCTACTCAACCAAGGCTATGAGCTCTTCCTCAGTATGCCTCCCCATCCCGACCCCGTGGCAGTGCGACTGTTAGTAGCAATGCTTGCTGACGGCTTGTCATGTCCAGCTGATGGCACTTTCGGTAAACCTGAACGGGTTGTTGTAGGCGGTAAGATAAAGAATGTCAAGACTGCCCAAATGATAGAGGCAGCCATCTACGTGTTTGTTGAAGTGCTTTTTGATGCCAGCGACTGCGCTGCCCGTGACAACGCTGAGTCGCAAGCCCGCATGACCTGCAAGCTTCTTAATGCATACGATGAATACATGCAAGCGGGGGGACCCATGCAAGCAAGGCGTAGGGTGGAAGAGGGACTGCAAGGCACAGAAAGTGCTGACTTGGAACCAGGCCCTGCCCCCGCAGAGGGAACACCTAAAAATGAAGGCGAGCTATCCCCTGGTTTGGAGGCTCGTGAACCACCCAGTACACAATCAAGTGAAATTCCTAGCACTTTGCCTTCCGAATCCAACGTAGGCGGTCTAGCGGACATTTCCAGGGGTACAGAGGAGGGCCCACCTGAAATTTCTCTTGAAGCTCCCACAGATCAAGGTTTAGAAGTAGAGGATGGGAGGAGTGACCGCATCCGCGTTTACGCTCAGAATGCAACTGCTTCGGCAGTTGCTGCTGCGCGATTAAGTACGCATGCTACACAGAAACATTCCATATGGAGTATTAGCCCTCGATCTGGCATGGCTTGTATCCGTGCACGTATACTGCATTAATTGTGTTCAACAGTATGACTCTCACCGCTGTTGTTCGCTCATTTTTGCTCTACTATATTTGTCAGGCTTGAAGTCCAGCTCTGCAACACTTCGCATAGTTCGCCTTTGTCTGCGAAGCGCATTATTCGTCCGCTATGCAAGCCGAATACTGTTGTTTTTCCTGGGAAAAGAGCTGGTGTCCAGTCAAGGCCTGTTCCTCTTACTCGGAAGAGACCGGCAGGGGGAACGCCTCTTGGGACTCCATGTAAAGGCACTCGTGGAACTCAGCTCAGGAAACGTGAATCTTGGCAATCTTTCAGCAGCAGCAGCAGGAATAGCTGCGAATGAAGAGACGCGCATTGTCTCGGGGGAGCAGCAAACGTCGGTTTCATTCCTACAAGGCTGGCTTAAGCCTACGGCAGTGGCTCGAACCTTTCAAGCGGCGGGAGTACGCGTTAGTCGACAGACCGCTATAGCGCTCGCTCTGAGCGTGAATGTGTCGGCGGATATCGTCTTAGCGTTTCTGTTGGTGGCCTTAAGCACTGCTTTCCCTCCAGCCGTGATTGCTCTGGCTGTTGTCATGGCCATCCTTCTTATAATCAGGTCTGCTGTTATCTCTTTCACCGTAGCTGTACCGGAAACGCTAATAGAGAAGGCCGAGCGAAAGGGGAGAGGGGCTCTCGACAGAATAGCCAAAGCTGTTGGGTAAGTTGGCTCTTATGTAAAGATGACTTACACGGAGCAAATTTTCGTTTCGTGACTGGGGAGTTCAGTCTATGCAGCTTGCCTTTAAACTGCAGCATGCATCGAATTCACTTTGGCCATTACTGAATCACACTATGTTCGATAGCATATTGTTTTGGATCTTGACGTAAAATGTTGGGATGCATTCAGCAGTCAAAAATTTCCGGAATATCTACATTCTGTTTCATGAACTATGGTTGCTTCTAGCCACTTCTGCTGTGCTGGGGGCATATCGCAGCGTATTCTGTATTTCGCACATGAATTCACACGTCTGTTTCAGCAACACCCGAGTTCCAATCTAATTTATTATTTTAAGAAGGTGACTGCACAATGGTATTGCCTTCGTTTGCTTGGTGGTTGGGAAGTCTATAATGGGGCTCAAAAGAACTTGCTTCTCGGGAAATGTACCCATTGCGGTTGTAACTGCAAAATCGAAAAGTGCAAGGGAGTACATGTACAGTGAACGCCAATAGGCTCCGTGCCAAGCATTTTTTAAATTCATTTAATCGCGTAACTTTTGTTGCTGCCAGTGCCCCATAGGCTCTGCAATGCAGTCTCGCCAAGGCTGCTCACGTAGTTGTGGTACATTTACTTTGAAGAAAGTACTAGCGTAGCGTACACGAGAATAGCTGCAACCTGACAGCCGTTCCCTTTTTCTGCCGTTGGCTCCATATCCTTAGCTAATGTAGAGAGTAGGCAAAAGACTATTTGGCGTTAATGCAGTCTTTGTATCAGGTCATGCTAGCAGCCAGTACATGGAGGGAATTTTCCCTTCCCGAGATGTAGGAATATCCTTTTAATCCTGCACTGCTGTAAAGGGCCTCAGGACATGGGCGTCTGGCCTACCATTCAAATTGCAGCCAGTTGGCAGTCTGCTGCCCCTGCAATCGCCTTCTTATGGTAAGCATCGACTTCTCCAGTGCCTGAAGCACATGCAGCCTAACTTCTCGATTCTAGTGTGCATCTTCCACAGGTGCTTCTGACCTATTTTCTGCTTACACAACAAGCGCGATCAAGGTCAATTTACCGGTAGTGTGCTTGATCCTAATATGAGGAAGCCACACCCAACCAACCACGGTCCGCTAACTGCCAGAACTTCCCGTTGTGGAGGTGTGTGTCAGCACCGCTGAACTGCTGACGGATGGCACAGGGAGGCATGGACACTTGTCCATGCAGCAACAAGCCCTGTTCAGGCGACGATGGCGTTCAGGAGCGTGGGTGTTCGCTTTGCAAGAGCGGCGACCATCTATCTCGTGCATCTGCCCCACAGCCTCTTGCAGGCAAAACACTGACAACTGCAGAGCTGTGAAGGGCGTGCGTTTGCACCCATCACAAGCGGGAGACACGGGGCCTCCTTCGGTGTACAATCCCGCGACAGGGGCGATTGACCCATGTTGTAGTTTTGTATACACACTCTGCCAACTACCATGAAGTTAAAATGATGGAAACTGTAGATTTTTGGTTCCTAAAAAAGACCTGATTGCTTAGGGCTTCCCAACTGTCACTGGGAAAATGCGCATAAGCCCAATCTCGCCGGTACCGTCTACGGGAACAGCGTGTTGGACGTTCACTGCAAAATACCAACCCAGAGGATTGCCCTAGTTCGTGGTCAATGGGCAGCATGTAGCACGAAACAAGCTTCACCCGGAGTCGTACGCCTCACGATACACGCTATCGCATGAGCCTCTAGGTGCCGTTAGCCTCCTAAAAAGCAGACATTCGGCGCGGCCCAAGATGTCATTGCCAAAGGAACGAAGCCCTACGCTGTGTCGCCGTAGTAATCCCTCTGAGTCACACCATTTTTGCGGTGTATTATTCTTAAACAGTAATGCGGGACATAATACAATTGCAGCAGTGCCAAGCACGGGGGCCTGTTCTGCGTTCCGCAGAAGGCCAACATCAAGCCTAAAGCCAAAAGCCCTCCAAGCACCAACGTAAGCTGACGTCTGAGCACCCAGGTTTGCCGCCAGCTCTGCAAAACAACGGCTCGACAGCTGCCGAGTAAAATGCGGAGAGGCTACCCACAGAACGTAGGATGCACACACAAACAGTGCTAATGTATGGCTAACACCGTCAAGACAGATGATGGTAGCCTTTCGTGCCTTCACCCTAATGAGAAGTACCCGCACTCCTCCCACAAACGAAACGTTCGGTGAAATTAATATCCCTTGATGCAGCAAGAATTCTTTCGAAGTGTCAGACACGAATGCTCTTGGCCCGACTTAGATCACCAACATGGAGAGAGCTAGCTTATAAGGATTCTGCTCAAATTACATCCGCAAGCCACGAATCCTGTTTCTTTTTCATAAGAGTCGAACGGAACTCTCCTCTGCTTCTTGTGAGCCCCGCATTCTGTCGCTGCACGACTTGATCAAATTCCGCAGAAGAAAGCAGCTCAATGCTGGACGCTAGTACATTGATATCTTCCGCGCGTTTCGCCGCAACATCCTCAACAAGACGGCATGGGTTCTTACTGCGTGCTTCCCTCTGCACCACGTCGGACATGTCGTATACCTTCTTGACCATCGATGGAATGTTGAAAACGCTGAATTTAAGATTAGATATTTCTTCGATGTCAGCCATGGCCGGCGACGTGATGATAGAGGCAACACTGGTGAGAATTTTTGTTGTCTCCCCTGCCCATCGAGATGCTAGCTGCACTAACGTCCCCATTAAGTACTTCTCAGATGACAACAAGGATTTGTATTTCTGAATTGCCTCCTTTCTCTCAGCCTCCGCCTCCCCACCACCGTCCCCAGCCTCCAGTTTGGTCTTAGCCTGCTCCAAGTTCTTCAAGGCTTCTTTCTGCCGTTCCTTGAGTCTCCCCACCTCATTCCCTATCTCCAGAAGTGCAAGCTGTGCTCTCAGATTCCTCGAACGAGCGTCAAAAGTCGTGGTCGACAGGCGATTGGCCTCCGTTACAACTGTCACCACGCCGCTACCTAGTCTTCCTACCAAACGGTTGAACACTTGACTTGCTACGGCTTCCGCCGGTTGCTTTGGCTCCTCCCCGGAGACGGTGCCAAAGTACCTGTTCGATATTTCACGAGCTACTTTCATCGCGTCCCCGGAGCGGATTTGCACCCGCACAGGCCGGCTACCCTGGCTTCCAGGGATAGCAAATTGCGTTAGCCAGTCTAGACTTTCCCCACCTTTTGGAGTCTCCTGCTCCTGTGGAACTGTTTCCTCCGGCTTCTTCCCGTCGAGATAGGCGGCCCATGCCCTCGGGATCCCGCTTACATCGATTGAGAGGTCCTCGGATTGTTCCTGGGCAAGCGGGACAGTCTGTGGCTTCAAATGGGGGGTACCTTCGAAGTACACATCATCTGCGGCCATAAAGGGAGCGAATGTCACGACCGCTTTCGGCTCCGCATTCACATCCCACATATCGCCACCCAAGTCCGCACTGAACCCTCCACCTTCATCCAAACCGATTCCCTCCCACTCCCGTTTCTTTAGGGAATTCGGTGACGCGCCTGGAGTGCACAGCTTTGCAGCTAACAGGGCAAAAACTCCAGCTGCCGCAATCCAGAGCGACCACCTGCGCCTGCGCTTAGCAGGTGGATTATCACCAGCAGCTGCTTTGTCAACATGATTGCCACCTTTCAGGGAAATTGATTTATCTGCCCAATATTCGTGAGGATTTGAATCCTGCAATTGTGGCGCTCCCTCGACTTCCTCGATCCCGAACCCGGCCAGCGGTTTGTTCTTAGCCATCCTGGCAATAAAGCGAGGGGCTTCCCCCTCTTGCGGAAAAGAGAATTTTCCAGCTAAAGCCTTGTTTATAGACTCTGTGCCACATGAGGAACATATTCCTGTCCCGAACATGTCCCGTTCGGGTGTAGCTGCAGCTACTCAGGCATGCCCACGGGGCTTCATGCGCATCAGTCTTGCTTCCAAAGAGGAGGAAAGGAGCAGAGATATATGCACAATATAAATAATGTACTATTCAAACTCGTAACCAGCGGCGGATCTGTCGAAGAATCTTTGTCGAATATTTTGCCGATCTTCGGGAAGCACTGCACTCGCCATTTTGGCGGAAGCCGAGCGCTCTCGCTTCTGCAGAAGGCCTTTACACTCAGCGATGCGCGCCTCGCATTGTCTTTGTTTAATTTTACACTTCTATACGTTGTGAAGTTGTGGATTTCACTTTAAATTGTGGTTACAGCTCTGGGACTCGTTAGAGATTGATATGCATGCATTTGCTTCAGCGACTGTAGCATTCCCTTTCTAGGAGTTTGTAGACAATCCGATGTTGGCCAGCCTGCCTGAAGTTGACTCACGAACCCCTACCCGCTCCTAACGACAAACGGCACCTAAGCGAAAGTTCCCAACAACTCCCATCGGTGCTTCTGTATAAACTTGAGATGGCTTGTTTGTGCTCGTGTGCGGGAGTGCGTTGTACCTTGAGTTGCAGTAAGGTACGTTGTAAATCATGATTAGATAAGAGTGTACTGCAGACTGAACTTTAAACAAGGTGAGTTGCAGAGCATGGAAGGCCCATTGCTCCTCAGCAGCTACACGTTCGGGAGCTGCAGAGTTCAGGCAGTCTGCAGAATGGCTAAAGTCCTTGCCAGCATTTTACTCTCACCTTGGCCAATGGAAATTGACCAGAGTATGCCATCTGGTGAGGAAGCGACAACTGTCTGGGTGTTTGGCCAACTTCAGTGGAGCTCAGTTTCTGCAGTATATTTTCCCTAGGTTCGCTACTCTATCTACGGCGAGCTTCTTTCAGCCGTACGTAAACCAGCTGCTCATTTCATTTGTGGATGGCCTGGGAGGTCGGCCCCTGTAAACAGTCAAGCATCTTGTTTCCGTGGGACATCGGGAAACTTTGCTTCACTGTAATCTTGTTTAGCGGCTGCAAGTCGACGCAGTGCGCCGGCTGATCTCTTTCACCGCACTGTCTCGAAGTGCTCTAGTTGACGGGTGGACGTTGGTGAGCCTAGCAGTCAGTATGGCCTCCGCTCAGTTTCCTCTTCAAGGTGGGCGTATGGTCTGTACATAGGAAGAAAGCTTGGGGCTGCTCCGCGGGTGGTATCGACCCAGTGCATAGAACGTACACAGCGTGGCTGGTGGGCTTGTAGCCCATTGCTACTTCTACGAACTTTTCTTCCAATTGTGTCTTCTTCTGCTGTCCCTCGAGTGTCCGGTCCATCGTAAAGACTTAGGAAATTTCTTTCTAGTTAATGAATTTCTTGCACAGGAATTGCTGGATGCGATGAAGAAATGCATCCAGCAATTCCTGTCCATGGCTGAGGACCATCCTCGTTCGTGAGTGCAGGGGACACACTGATTCCACTCCTCTAACTGGAGGGAACGCGAATAAAGTTGGGAACTACAAGATGTTCAGTCTCTCCTCGCTTCTTGGCACGCTTACCTCAATGGTAACTTATGGACAGCAGCCTGCTGCTGCTTCCTGCAGTGGTCCAACCCCGGCAAGGATCACGCCACGATGAATCGGTCCACCGAATATTCTCCGTATCGTGATGATAGGTTCAATTCCGAGATTAATGTCGCACTTTAAGGCAATACTCTTGCCGATTGCCGTCTCCCAGCTAGCGCCCGCTAAATATAGAAGCACTATTCCAATGGATCGAACACCTTCAACACTATTCATGGGCGTCCTGTACCCAGTCCTGCTGTGGGGGTGACCCTAGTTGTCTGCGCCTTCCCTCGTGAACTATGCGGTGCTACAAAATGTAACGGGAACCCTTTAGCACGTCGAAGTACCATCGGCGTGGGGCTAAAGTACTTGAGGTTACAGTTCTCCAAAATGTGCTGACCACTAACCCCAGTATTCAGGCGTCCTGGACACGCCGTTGCAAGTGCCTGCCGCTGCGGGAAAGAAGGAAACCCGAGAAGACGTGCACAGCACCTTGCTGGAACTCGTGGAACAAGACAGCCCCACATGCCAGCAAAACCAAGCCTTCTCTACTGCGTGCACCAACACTGTAGACGGTTGTCGATAATTTGGGCAGGCTTGCATGCGCCATACGTATGTGCAGATAGGCTAGTGAGCCAACGTAACAATTTTTGTGCGAGCTTCAGACATATTTTCAAGTTTGGCCAGCCGTGCAGCTGTGGGACAGATGAGGCAAGTTGGTAGGCCCCTAACATGTTAAGTGGCATAACAACTATAGCAGCTCACGTACGAGTTGAAAATTACGAAGACAAGTAGGGCTGCGCCCTTCAGCCGCGAGTGCTGTCACGTTTCGCAAGCTGGCTCATCCAGCCCCAAACACTGCCACCTGTGCCTCGTTCAAGCTGGTACAAGCCACTTGGTGAATACTTAAGTATGGGAACTCTCTTCTACCTAAACTTATTTTACTGCTCTTACATGCTACTTCTTTTGGGAATTCCTGTCCCATTGTGGTACACTTCCACTACGGGTTGGTCTGGGGCCGCCGCCGAGACAAAGCTGCACGAGGAGACAAAGAATCTGATTTAAAATAACTATTTGCGGTCCCATTAGCTCATCAAAAAGAGAATGCCGCCACAGGCGGCGAGTGACGATGCTCCGGAGAAGAAGAGCCGCAGCAGGTATGCGCCAGTCGCTCCGGGCCAAACAGTGTGTCGCCCACACGCGCATTAACGGCTGGTTCCTTTGTTTAGTTTATTGCTGCTTTCTGTTGATGATCTGGATATGTTGTTTGGGACTTGTGCAGGTCCCGCAGCACGGAAGCTAGGTTAGGGGGAGAATCGGGAGACAATGGTGACGGCAGTTCGGACTCAGCTGCCGTTGTTGCGGCAGCAGCAGCTGCTGCTGCCCGTGCTGCTGCGGCACGGAAAGCAGCAGCAGATGATGTGAACTCAACCTTAACCCGGCTTATGCCGGCAGCAAGCAAAGTGAGGACGACTTACGCTCCCGTTATGGCTCCTCAGGACGCTGCCGCGGCAGCAGCAGCTGCAGCAGATGCTCGCACCAAGCTAGCACAGAGTCTAAATGCAATGTTCCAGCCGCCTCCCCCTTCTTCTCCACCGCCTGCTGCTCAACCAGGAGCGAATGCGGGCGCCCCACTCCCACCCCCGGGAGCACCGCCAAATGCCCTAGCGCCGCAACCCTCGGCTCGTGCAACCGTGCACTCTGAGTCCGATCGCATTGCGCGTCGTCTATTTATCAACAACATCCCACCCGGTAGGTTGGAGCATTACACCCTGTGCTAGTTCCTGTGTGTACTGCGGATTCCGGTTTGTTCATGTGTTTCTGCGCGCACTTGAGCTTGGGTTTTAGATGCGTATAACTCAGGTGCTTCTGCGCTTGTTGTACTTTCAGGAACAACTGAGGCCGACATGTGTGGCTTCTTTAATGGCGCTTTACTGGCGGTCAACGCGCAAACAGGTTTTACTGACCTGACTACTGCGAGTGACAAGCCACATCTGCTGCCAGTGGAAAGGTGTGAGGGCCTCCAAGAGAATGGCCGGTACTGTTTTATAGACTTAAGGTCTCATGAGTGGGTGGTTCTCTGCCTCAAGCTAGACGGTGAGTCTGCTTGACTTCGGAGTAGCGCATAACACTTGTTGGGTTGGGCTGTCGGGAAAATGGAAGTGCGATGTCACGCAGCCCTCCCGTTTCCAGCAGGTATCCGTGGGTCGTGGCCGTGTGTCATATTCTGTAGGCATTACTTTCAATAATAATTCTCTTCGGATCATGCGGCCCAAAGAATATGTACAGCCTCCCGGTGGCGACCCCGCAAAGACAGTCCACATTCCAGAACTTGAAAGGAACCCAAGGTAAGGCCTGAATCGTTCGCAGCCGAGCAGTGGGATTGTATTGTCCGTAGAATTTGGTGTCTTCATTCAGATATGCCATTGCACTTATTCTAAGGTGTGTGATTCTCTCCGGCGCATTGCGTGTCGAGCTGTCTTAACAATGCGCAGACCCCAAGAGAACGAAGTTCGCGCAACGGCACCTCCACGAAGTGCGGACTGCAAGCTGTACATCCAGAACTTGCCGCAGGAGATGGGAGAAGACCAGGTACAGAATGACGCCTTAATATGCTCCATATGTACTTGCCCATGCTCTACCTTGCTTGTGTCGTCCATGTAGCGCTTGCTGGAGTCAGGCAATCGGGGTACATATTTGCGATTCTTCTGTGCCCAGCTCGTTGTTGAAATGTACAGGTGCGCGATTTGCTCGAACAGTTTGGAAAACTTCGAGTCCTTAACCTGATTAAGAACAGGCAAACTGGGAAGCACCGTGGTTACGGCTTCTTCGAGTACGAAGACCCGGACGTAACGGATCAGGCCATAGAAGTACGCGACGGCAGGGAAATCTAGGCTCTACAGTTGCTGTTGGAGGGCACTTCTGCTGCGCTGTGTATGTGCGTTTACTTTCTTTGTCTGCGCTTACATTCTGCTTTCAGTCTCTAAACGGGTTCGTCTGTGGCGCCGCCGTGCTCAGTGTCCAGCGGTCGAACTTCATGCCCGACTTACTACCGATCAAACAGCACACGACAGAGGTCACTTCTCTTCCGTCTTCCACTTCGTATGCAGTACTTTCGGACCCAGTTGTCGCCATCCAGGTCCGTATAGTCACACGCTGTTCTTGCTGCCAGAAGTTGTGCGTGTTCGCTTATTTGAAATGCGGCACAAACAGGCCTGGTCCGTAGTCTGGGAATTTGAGGAGGCGACGCAAACTCACACGAACGGTTTAAATACGAAAATAATGGAATGAAGGAAAACAACTTGTCACGTTTGTCATGTTGAGTGGTGCAGGTTCGGGCTGGGCGAGCCATAGGCGAGAAACCTTCGCGCGTTGTTCAACTCCTGAATACGATTTACCCCGAAGACGTGGTATGTTGTGGCTACTAGCGAGCACCTTCAGGTTCCCCTTGTAGTTCAGATGCGCTCGTTTTCTCGTGGACATTTGGCTTTTGGCTGATGCTTAACGGCAGTTGTTGGTGTCTTGACGTGCTTTGCGAATATGTTTGGAAACGCGAATAGATGACAGACGCGAGCCACGAAGCAGCAGTTAAAGACATCCGTTCCGAGGCAGAGAAGTATGGGCCTCTAGAGGAGGTTGTCATTCCACGACCGAATGCAGATTTGTCGTACAAGCCAGGAGTGGGGAAGGTGAGATCCAGAAGCTGCCCTGTTACCTACTTGCTCCTCCATGCATTGCCGTACGGCGCAGTTGAGACGCGATTGTAAGTTGCTCTGTGTTCGAACTCTGCGGTATTTCAGGTGTTCTTGGTTTATGCGGACCTCACATCTGCTCGGAGGGCGCAGTACATGCTGAATGGTCGACGTTTTGACCAGACTCGTGTTGTTTGCGCGGCGTTCTTCCCGGAACAAAGGTTTAAGGAAGGCCACTACACGTTGACGTGAATAGACAGAATACGTCTCGCTCCCCGTACCATCAGACCTCCAAGCTTGTGGGAAACTCTCCACACTGCCTTCTGCATTTATAGATTTTTACTGCTTGTCGAGATTATCAGACATAATTCAGGATAAGTGCGTATTTGTCACCCAGCAGTGCGGCTAAAGCGGTTGAACCAGACTGGCCAGTGTTTCACTCAGGTCTGCAGGTTGTCATGTTGCTAGCGCTCCGCAACTCGCTGTTCGCGAAACAGGGAGTGCAGCATAAAACGACTCCTGTTCACGAGATTGAAGATGACATATAGCCTTGTTGGCACCATTTACTTCCTTTTTTCTATTTGATTTCTCAATGTGCTGAGATCATGTGGCGACGGGAGGTTTGTCTTTTGCGGCTTGCCTGACGTACTCAGAATTTTCCACCTCTTATGAGGTTGTGGGGGGCAGTTCCACTGACCATTTGCGTTGGCAATGGGAGCGCTTATGTTCAAGCCACTGTTCGTAGAGGAATTGTATATATGCGTAGGACGGATGAGACTAACGACCTGATAACTTCCAAACCAGTACACAAGATGCTGCAAACTGCTGTTTTGAACAGGATAGCAACGGAGCAGCTGCACATTTCCTTCGCTAGCAGTCGTCATCTGCATTTCTTGTCATCTTGGAGTCCTTGGTGCTGACTGCGCAGGTAGCTGCAGCAGGTTGGCTCGTTTGCTCATAGAGTTGTCGCTGATAATTGCTCCGATGCAGCTCGGTAGTACTTCCAGGAGGACAGAGACTCACATCGAGTACACTGAAACACGAGAAAATTTACTTGCGAGTCAGGCGTATTCGCAGTAGATTTGCTAGGGGAACTCTTGGGTGAGGGCACTGCTCACTTGAGTGCAGTCGCTGCAAACCTTTGGGTGAGGTACATATTGCCTAGTTCGTAGTTACTTCGGTTGCAAGACCACATGGTAGGAGTTCTACGCGGCTGCAGAAATTAGAGATGCCCGAATGACAAGTTCCGGAATACAACGGTCCAAAATACAGTTTACTTTCATCAGCATTGGCGTCATGTCCCGTCTACACCTGAGCAACGAAAACGATTAATGCCCACCATCATAGGTTCAATGCAGCGTTCTAACCAATTCTAGCACACGCGCGGAGTCACCAGGGCTTAAAGACAGTTTCCCATTGTGTCGCAAGTAAGAAAAGAGAGGGGAGACCCGCTGTTGTAAAGGGGACCGATATGTGGTGACAGTAGAGCAAAAGCTGCGAGCACTCATGCAGTACTGGAAAAATGCTGCATAGAATTGGCATGGTCACCACCCCTGGAAAATGGATGATAAGGGGTTGCCTCCCCTAGGAACGAGTTCATCGCCCATAAGATAAGAATGCTGTCAGCTCTTGCCAACCATCCCACGAAGGGGTTTAAGATGCTAGGGCAAAGAAGGAGTCCCTTGTTTTGTGGAAGTGTGCTCCAGTCCTTCGGACACCCTTGAACAACTGCATTTCCCATTGGCGCCTTCATCATAGGTAGATAGGGCACGACAATGTAGATTGCTTGTGATCAGATCAGATCCAGGTTAAGGAAGCTTTCTTGGATGCGCAACGATAATTGCGTATCCATACGCCGGCTAAATCTGGTTATGGCGTAATTATGGACTTCTAACCAAATGAAGCTATCGATAGAGCTCAACAATCTCAAATATCACTCCTTGGTGAGCTGCAGTCCAATGGTGAACTCCAACAACCGATGCGCACGGTTTATATCGAGATGGGTCCCCAAGAGAAAGGAAATGGATAACTGGTTCTGCTACGGAAAAGGGTGGATTTTGCTACAGTGATTGAGAACTCACAACGGAAACAGAGAGAAAATGCCAACCTTTCCTGCATTTGCTGGGAATAAAGTAAACGACGGAGGTGTGGCTGATATAGACACCATATATTTTTGCTGTGAATTTCAGAGCCTTCCGAGTAAATGGGTATAGGGGAAGTCGACAACAGCTGGTAAATTGAGAACTCTGCCACCGGAAGCTACGCACCGAGCGACAAATAGGCTTCTTACGCAGGAAACAAGGTTCAAAGAACTGGAATTACAGGTGCGTTGAACAATCAATTCGATGAGACAAGCGATACTTTGAGCAGTGCAGATAGAAGAACCAGCAAATCCCTGGACCCTATAGTTGGCTGAACAGCAGATCAAGTTAGAGACAACTGCAGCGGCGGTTTCCCCTCTAGTCAACTCTGTGCGTGTATTCGGAGAGTCTCTACTCTCTACCGATGCGGGGAGTGCAGCATAGTCTGTTGTATGTTGAAAAGCTTGTCTGATGATACCACCCTAAATCTCTGCCGGGCCTAGGAGGCAAGAGGAAAGCAAGCAGACCTCTTCAATTATGGAATACAGAAACCATCCACACAGCAACACAGGCTTGCTTGCGCATGCATGTACGATTCTCCAGAGACAACGGGCAGCTAAAATCGCCCGCCAGTTTCTGCGTCGATACCCTTGGTGCTTTCCATTTGCGCTCCCCCTGCGGTTGCCAGGTCGATATATCCAGACACCGCAAGTCCACCAATGGCCAAAATGCACATCTACTAGCTATTCATTTGTGTAGGCTTTTGTTGTAATGGCTTGGACTAGGGAATAGAGGAGCCATGTTTTGGTGCCTTTGTTTGAGGTAGTGGGTGTCCAGGGAAAGGAAGGGACAAGAAAGGGTGGAAGGAGGGTTGTTTGGGACAAGACGTAGGGCTGTTCCGGGAATTGAACCCGGGACCTCTCGCACCCTAAGCGAGAATCATACCACTAGACTAAACAGCCGACGAGGTGTCCATGTGACCCTGGTCAGCGGCTCTCCTGCCGCACAACACACCACC